CTGTTTGGTTCCAGTGTCCTTTTGACATGCCCCCCTCTACCCCTTAAAGGTGACTTTTGAAATCAAATGTTATCCTTTGCAATTAATTTGCAATTGGGAGGGAGAGAGAGAGAGAAACATCAATGTGAAAGGGACACATCGAGTGGATGCCACCTGCACAACCAACCAGGGCCAGGGACAAACTGCAACCTAGGTACGTGCCCTTACCAGGAACCGAACCCGGGTCTCTCTGGACCGCAGGTCCACGCTCTAACAGCTGAGCCAAACTGGCCAGGGCAAATTCATTCTTTTTTTTTTTATTATTTATTTTTTATCCTCACCCGAGGACATTTTTCCATTTTTTGCACAGAGTGGGAGGGAGAGAGAGGAAGAGAGAGAGAGAGAGAAACATTGACGTGAAAGAGACACATCAAGTGGCTGCCACCCGCACGACCAACCAGGGCCGGGGACAAACTGCAACCGAGGTACATGCCCTTAGCGGGAACCGAACCCGGGTCTCTCCGGACCGCAGGCCGATGCTCTAACCGCTGAGCCAAACAGGCCAGGGCGCAAATTCATTCTTAATAAAACTACACAAAGCAAGTCCCAAGGCAATTCTTATGTGTAAATCCATGTACCAGGCCTCTATTAAACACAGAGAATGCCTTTGATGTGTAATTGCTTGCACTGTACAGTAAACGTTCATAAAATAAAAATTAATTGACAATGATGTGGTACCTGAATACTTCACAGGGAAAAAAAACTAGAGGTTCTGTAGCCAGAGTTTTTTAAAAAATAAATAAGCTAATAAATTTATCAAAGTTTTACTTTTTATTGCATTAGCTATTTTTACAGAAATTAGCAATACATTGGAATGTTTTGAGATGAGTTACGAGACTATAGGTAACTTATACTCACTGGAGAGAAATTTTAGTGATAAAAGAAAACATTGTCCTGATCCTGAGTGTCCTTTAAGAGGAGGCAACTGTACAACCACAATTCATTGTAATTCTTTTTTTTTTTTTTAATCCTCACCCGAGGACATTTTTCGATATTTTGTTCAGCTAAAGTGGGAGGGAGAGAGAGAGAGAGAAACTTCGACGTGAAAGGGACACATCCAGTGATTGCCACCCACACGACCCAATCAGGGCCCGGGACAAATGGCAACCAAGGTAAGTGCCCTTAGCGGGAACCGAACCCGGGTCTCTCCGGACCGCAGGCCGACGCTCTAACTGCTGAGCCAAACCGGCCAGGTCCATTGTAATTCTTTAACCTAGTATCATAAAATGATGTTGACACATTTGGAAAGAGTATTTCTTACTTATGCAGTGCCACATAAGATGTCATGTAATTTGACTTTTGGTGGGATACTTCAAAAGTTACCTGAGAGAAAAAGAGGGAATTATGTTTGCTTATTAAGCATTGTAATCATTTATATCAAAACCACGCTATAAAATTTGCTTAGATGGCCCTGACCAGGTAGCTCAGTTGGTTAGAGCATTGTCCTGATGCACAAATTCAATCGCCGGTCAGGGCATATACATGAATCAACCAATGAATGCATGAATAAGTGGAACAACAAATCGATCTCTCTCTCTCTCTCTCTAAAAAAAGATTAATAAATAAAAATTGCTTAGGTGACTGTAATTAGGCTGAAAGCTGGTCCCCCAAAGATATCAGGCCCAAGCCCTGAAACCTGAAAATATCACCTTATTGGAAAAGGAATCTGGAAGAGGCAAGGATGGAATGTCCCCTAGGGCCTCCAGAGAAAGCATGGCCCTGTCATACCTTGGTTTAGGCCCAGTGATTCTGACTTCAGACTTCTGGAGTCCTGACTGTGAGAGAAGTTCTGGTGTTTTAAGCCACTAAATATGTGGTCACTTGTTACAGCAGCAAGAATAAGTGAATATAACACTTTCCATACAACTTTGTTTACCTGATATAACTGCAGCTGATGTGAAGAAATTCTACACAGGACCGAGAGATTTACTCAAAAGATAAAATACAGTATGTTTTTCTTTACAAAATGATTCACACGGCCCTGGCCAGTTTGGCTCAGTGGTAGGGCATCGGCCCGCGGACCAGAGTCCCGGGTTCAGTTCCCACTAAGGGCACATACCTCGATTGTAGTTTGTCCCCGGCCCTGATTGGGGTTGTGTGGGTGGCAGCCACTCGATGTGTCTCTCTCACATCGATGTTTCTCTCTCTCTTCCCCCCCTCTCCCTCCTGCTCTATCTGAAGATTAATGCAAAAATGTCTTCAGGTGAGGATAAAAAAAAAAAGATTCACATGTACTTGAAAATACCAAGCTTTTCCCTTGCCTTTAAAGTCGGCAATTTACAAAAACAGATATTTTACACACGTCAGGAACATTTCTGTAATGTAAGCCTCATGGCTTCAAATGCCGTCAGTATGCTAAGGACTCCTAACTTCAGTTCTCTAGCCCAAATAACTCCCCTTAATTAGACACGTCCATCCACTTGCCTTCTCAGAATTGTCACTTGGATATCCAACAGGCACCTCAAACAATATCCAAATCTGGGCTGCCGCCCTTTACTTTACCCTGACTTGCTGGTCCCTAATCTGTTCCATTTTGGTAAATGGCAACTCCATCTTTCCAGACAGTCAGGTCAAAAATCTTAAAAAAAAAAAAAAAGAAATATGTTTTTATTGATTTTAGAGAGAGGAAGGGAAAGGGAGAGACAGAAACATTAATCAGCTGCCTCTTATATGCAACCGGGAATCAAACTGGTAACCTTTCAGTACTTGGGACGATGCTCAACCAATTGAGCCACAATGGCGAGGGCCAGGTCAAAAATCTTGATAGCATATTTGATCCTTTTTCTCTCACTTCCAACAGCAAATCCTACCTTGGCTCTCTCTTCAGATTATATCCAGGATCTAGCCACTATTTTTTGTTACCTCCAAGATTAGGGAGGTAGGGCTTCAGTGTGGTGCGGGAGTCAACTAGAGTTTTCTCTACCTATTTATTTGCCTCTTTCTTAGACCCCCTCACACTCTTATTTTTTTAGTTCTGGACACTATAACTCATTTACTCGTTTTTTTGTCTTTTTTTTAAATCCTCACTGGAGGATATTTTTCCATTTTTTGTTCAGATAGAGTGGGAGGGAGAGAGAGAAAGAGAAACTTCAACGTGACAAAGACACATCAAGTGGTCGCCACCCACACAACCCAACCAGGGCCGGGGACAAACTGCAACTGAGGCAAGTGCCCTTAGTGGGAATCGAACCCAGGTCTCTCTGGACCCCAGGCCGATGCTCTAACCGCTGAGCCAAACCGGCCAGGGCACTTTTTTGTCTTTTCAAAATCTCACAAAATGTAGCCCTCCCAATCTTTTTGTCTATTCTAGTCAAACCAACTGCATACCAAATGTAGAGCCAGAAAATATCTTAGCCTCATGCATCTCAACCATACTGGCCCCTAGAGTGTGTTTTAGAAATCAGGGAATTTGGGGTTGTCACATCACTGAGGGGAAAGGAAGAGAGTAGCACATAATTGTGATGCTAGACATCTGCAATGCAACAAACCTACACAATAAAATACTGTCCTGTGGTCCATCAGACTTTTCAATGTCCTGCCAGACACTTACTTATGTGTCTAAAGACTAGATTCTAACTCCATTTTACTTATGCCAAGCTATTCTTTTTTAAGTTTTAATATGGACTAAAGTTTCTACTAATTCTTCTGTGTGAAAAACAATAAATTATACTTTGACATAGTCAGAACTCTACCAAGAAGTTGTACACTATTTTGGAAAAATCATGCCACCAACAGAAAGCCCTTCTGATACTTGAGGACCCAATAAAACACACCTATTGCAATCGTAATTTTTGCATTTATAGTTATTGTTTATGCATAGAAGCAAATGACACTGTATTTCTACTGCAGACATATTTTAGCTAATATATATTTTATATATATATTTTTATATATATATAGTGTGTGTGTGTGTGTGTGTGTGTGGTATGTGCCCCTAGTGGGAACTGAACCCGGGACTCTCTGGCCCACAGGCCGATGCTCAACCGCTGAGCCAAACTGGCCAGGGCTAGCTTTTATATTTTGAATTATATATTCTTTTGCTATTTTGCATTGTTCTTCCTTTACAACTGGGATGTTGTGTGTGTGTGTGTGTGTGTGTGTGTAGAGATGAGTTCTGTTATCCATGGTTTTCATTACAGAATATTTTTAAAAGGTTATTCAGCATTATAAAGGGATGCTGGTGCCGATTGCATTAAGAACCACTAACATACAGGTAGACCACTCCAAGGTTTCCCATTTGTTTCCCAGTCTACTGCTGACACTGACCACACCATACACGACGTCGTTTTCCCTTGCAAGGATCCTAAGCTTTTCCACAGGGGCCCTAATGGTGCGGATGATAATAAAGAAAACTTGTATGGTCCTTAAGAATTAAAATAGTCTTGCATCGGATATCGTTGAATGCTCACAAGAGTCCTACTGGGAAAGCAAATAAAATATCTTCCTAAAGATTCTTACCAACTGTAGTGCATTGTCGTAAAAACGAAGGCAAACCAAAGTACTTTACTGGAGCCACAGCCATATCTTCGTTTATGAGTTTTCAGAGATCCCAGAGATTAAGTCAGCAAGATTCTCCACCAGATGAGACCTTAGAACTTTTTTCTTTGGGATTTATTTCAGCCTGCTCTTACAGACACGAGAAAACCGAGTTTTGGGAAAAGTTAAGCAACTGGCCCAAGGCTCCGAGATAGCATAACATTTAAAAACATGCGTGTATGACTATATGGGAAGGCCTATTCGATTACACAGGTTTCCCTCACCACAAGTTTTAGACGAGAAGCTTCTCACCATAGATGAAACCGGACGGGGACTTCAGCGGCGAGCCCCGCCCCTCGCCCCGCCCCCAGGGCGGCCCGCCGTACTGCCTGACTGGCAGCCGGCGCCAGGGGGCCTCGTGGGGTCCTTCGAGCGGGCTCCGGAAGCATTGCCTGAGCGGGTGCGCAGGCGGCTTCCGGTGTGGGTGACGAGAGGTGGCCGAAACAGGGAGACATCAAGGGACCCTCAGGCAGCACCATGGCGGACGGTGGCTCGGAGCGGGCTGATGGGCGCATCGTCAAGATGGAGGTGGACTACAGCGCCACGGTGGATCAGCGTCTGCCCGAGTGTGAGAAGCTGGCCAAGGTGAGGGGAGGCCGGCTGTCTGTTGGCGGGCGCCAGGGGCTGAGTCACGGCGCGGAGCCTGCTTAGGCCTCAGGGGGCCTGAGGGCTGGAGCGCGCATCCCCAGCCCGGGTTGGGCCTGCCTAAGTAGGACACCCCAGGTCTCCCTGATCGGGGAGACTCCAGGCGGGGTACGCTGGTGCATACCGCTTTCCAGACCCTCCCCAGGACAGAGGGTCACTTCCTCCTCGTAGGAATTGGGGCCCCATAGTACTTTTTGCGTTTCCTTGGATACTGCTCAACATTTACATTGGTAGTTTCCCAGGGGTTAAGGCCGCTGCAGCATTCAGGCTGGATCAGGGAGTTTCGTTCAATTGCTGAATCAGTTTATGTCAAGTTGTTTGTGGATCGTGGCGATGTGCCTGGCCTTTGGCGAGGAAGAGGCAGGAAAGTGATAGTACGAGGTGATTCACACAGGATTTCTGTCCTGGAGGAGTTCGTGTAGGTAACGAATTCGACAAGTCATGTCTGGCGGTGAACGCCGTGCAAATATAAATAAAAGTGTTATTGGAACCCAGAGAGGGAACCTGTTCGTTCTTCCTGGTGGGATAAGGGATGGTTTTACAGACAAGCTAATGTTTGCGTTGGGCCTTGAAGAAGGAGTAAGATTGGGTTGGGAAGGAGTCACTCCTGTAGCCGGAACTACGTAAGTAAAGACAAATAGGCACTAAAGTACAGAATAACCTAGTTAGAGGAGTTCTTGAATAGTATTTTAGCCCAATTGCTTATCTCCGATAGGATAGAAATTTTACTTGATCCAAACATTGTCACTCCAGGCAACTTTGTGTATCATTTTACATGTAAAGGAACTAAGGCTCAGAGTTACTTGTCCAACGTTACAGCAATCAATGGGTAGAACCAGGGATTCAAAGCTTGGTTTGTCTGACTAGGGTATGGGTGGTTGTTGAATCAGCGCCATCATGGGCTATTGCTAAGACCTCATTATGCTGAGGACTCATTAAGTTCCTTGATCAATCTCCAGCCACAGACATTTATTGCTATCCATCTGGGATGTTTTTAGGGTTGTTTTTGTCTTTACAAAGCTTGATATATAAGTACATTAAAGTGTAACAGATTAAGGGACAGGAGGAGTGACAAGTAATGCTTCGCATTTAGTCTTAGAAAGAAACCTTTTTATTGCCTCCTTTTTTCCAAAAAAGAATTGAAGGGGGCTTTCCAAAAGACAAGGATAGAGGAAGGTGATGAAGTTGATATACCTGTATTTCTTAGGTTCGGTACACTTGATGGAGGGGAGCCATAAATACATTTCTGAGCTTTCTAGTGGAGAGTGTAAAGGAACATCATAGGTTACTTAAGGGTTGGACAACTCAAACACATACAGTGCCAGAGAGATACCAATAGCTGACATTTATTGAGTAGTTTTTGCAGTGCCAGGTACTCTTCTAAGTGCTTACATGCATTAACTGATTTGCTGCTCACCTTAGCCCTGTGTGATAGGTGTTACTGTTATTCTTCTTTTCCTGGCAGCAGACTAAGAGAAGTTGATCACATGTAGATCACATCACTTTACAGCTTAAAGTGATGGGGACAGGATGCAAACCCAGGCAGACAGATTCTAGAGCTTGTGCTCTCAACATGCTGTCCTGCCTTAGTGAGCCACATGTAAGGAAAACCTGAACTTCTGAACACCTGCCCGGGGAGCGAGGCAATAACTCTTCTCCAGTTAATCTTTGCCAGTTGCGGATGAAGATCAATCCTTGTCAACTCTTCTATTTTGAGGGAGAAATAGGGAATATGTATTTTTATATGAAATGCTTCAATATTTATAAACTGGACACTAATAATCTATTTTAAAATACTATCGGAGCCCTGGCCGGTTTGGCTCAGCAGTTAGAGCTTCGGCCTGCGGTCTGGAGAGACCGGGGTTCAGTTCCCGCTAAGGGCACTTACCTTGGTTGCGGTTTGTCCCCTGCCCTGGTTGGGTCCTGTGGGTGGCAACCACTCGATGTGTCCCTTTCACGTCGATGTTTCTCTCTCTCTCTCTCTCTCTCTCTCTCTCTCTCTCTCTCCTTCCCACTCTATCTGAACAAAATATCAAAAAATGTCCTTGGGCAAGGATAAAAAATATATATATACTATCTGAGCCAGTACCATGTATATCAAATAAAACATACCTACAGGCCAAAGTAAAACATACCTATAAGCTAAAGTCACACCTAAACTACCACTTTGGAATTAATAGAATGACAGTGTCTATAAATAAGAAACCATTCACTTTACTTTTTTATTTTTTTTTTTTTATCCTCACCCGAGGACATTTTTTTTGTTCAGATAGAGAGGGAGGGAGAGAGAGGAAGAGAGAGAGAGAGAAACATCGACGTGAAAGGGACACATCGAGTGGCTGCCACCCGCACGACCAACCAGGGCCGGGGACAAACTGCAACCGAGGTACGTGCCCTTAGCGGGAACCGAACCCGGGTCTCTCGGGACCGCAGGCCGACGCTCTAACCGCTGAGCCAAACCGGCCAGGGCAGAAACCATTCACTTTAAAGAAGTGTAGCTATTTTAGAACTGAGGCTTGGGAGAAAAAACATCTTCCCTTTACCCATGTCTTCTGAAGTCTACTGTGTGGAAGTCATACTCTGTGCTAGATGTTGTGGAGGATATAAAGATTATTAGACAAAGCTCTTGCCCTCAAATAGGTTATAGGCCAATAAGAAAAAAAACTATTGCCCTGGCCGGTTTGGCTCAGCGGTTAGAGCGTCGGCCTGCGGTCCGGAGAGACCCGGGTTCGGTTCCCGCTAAGGGCACGTACTTCGGTTGCAGTTTGTCCCCGGCCCTGGTCGGTCGTGCGGGTGGCAGCCACTCGATGTGTCCCTTCACGTCGATGTTTCTCTCTCTCTCCCTTCCTCTCTTTCCCTCCCACTCTATCTGTACAAAAAATGGAAAAATGTCCTCGGGTGAAGATAAAAAACAAAAACAAAAAAAAAACTATTTTACTGCTACAGTTTTAGTGATTACATGTGTGGCATTTATTCAGGACATCATTATGTTCACGACCATTGAAAAGATTGGCAACTCAAGCCAAATGCTTTTTTAGCTGTCAAATGGAACGAAATATTTAAAACAGGATGTTGGGGTCTGTTAAACTAAATAAAATTAAAGGCATTTGAATTCTGATTTTTTTTTTAAGCCAGCATAACAGTTGGATAAAACAAGGTATAGGTATGGATTGCTTCTGTTGAGGGGAGGGGAGAGATTGGAGGTGGTAGGGTTTAAGTTTTTTATTTATACAGACCCACAGAGAGAAAGAGAAAAAGAGAGAGAGAGAGAAACATCGAACAGCTGCCTCCTGTACCCCCCACTGAGGATTGAGCCAGCACCCTGGGCATGTGCCCTGACTGGAAATTGAACCAGGACCTCAGTCTATGGGATGATGCTCAATCCACTGAGCCACACTGGCTGGCCCTGAGGATATTTTTTTACATTGATTTTTAGAGAGGATGAAAGGGAAGGAGGGAGAGGGAGAGAGAGAGAGAAACATCTATGTGAGAGAGACACATTGATTGCTTGCTTCCCACATGTGCCCACATGGGTTGGTGATCGAACCTGCAACCCAGGTGTGTGCCCTTGATCAGGAATGAAACCTGAGGCCCTTAGAAACCAGGGTTGATGCTGTAACTACTGGGCAACACCAGTCAGGGCAAAACTTTTTATTGTTAACGTAAAAGACCTTTGAAGAAGAAAATTAAATGTGTATAGAGACTTTAATAAGGATGTATTAGGTGAGAAAACAACATGTAGCAGACGCCTTTAAAAGGCAGACTGGCCCAGCTGGTGTGGCTCAGTTGGTTAAGCATTGTTCCATGCACCAGGAGGTCACAGGTTCAATTCCCAGTCAGGATACATGCCTGGGTTTCAGGCTCTATCCCCACTAGGGGGCATGCAGGAGTCAGCTGATTGATGTTTCTATCTTTCCTTCTCCCTTTCTCTCTCTGAAATCAATAAAAACATATTTAAAAAATTATTTTCTTTCTTTATTGACTTGAGAGAGAGGATGAGAGAGGGAGAGAGACATCAATGAGAAAGAACATTGATTGGCCACCTCCTGCATGTTCCCCACTAGGGATTAGACCCACAACCTTGGCATGTGCCCTGACAGGAATCAAACCAGTGACCTCTTGGTGCATGAGTCGATGCTCAACCACTGAGCCACACTGGCCAGCCAATAAAAACATATTTTTAAAAAAAGGCAGGCTGAAGTCTAGACCTGGGTAGTCAAATTGCCAAATCTAGGCCATTCAGATCTCCTACCATTATGACTTAGTACAATTCTGTCTGTGTCCTGCCACTCACCTAGCAAATAACAATAATAACTAATATTTATTGCTGTGGAAGTTTTGTATAATGTTAGCATTATTATGATGATTATGTTCATACTATGTTCCAGGCATATTTTGATTTAGGAGTTGAAGGATAGACACAAACATACAGAACTTGCAGATACCCAAACAACATGTACTGATGTTAAACTCCTTAGTCATTTACCTCATTTGCAAGGATTATTTTAATGAGAAAAGTGATTCACAAAAGTCACCTGTTCCAATAAGTTGGTTTTGATAGTGCTGGCCATCTTGTTTCTCTAAGTTGAAAGGCAGTATTGATAAGGTGGAATTTCAAGAACTGTATGATTAGATAATGGAAGGAAGGAGGAAGATGTTTAGCTGTAGGATTGGACATGGAAGTGGGGGTGGGAAGTGGGATGGTTAGGGAATTGGGAGTTGTATTTAATGATGGTAGTGCCCCTCAAATAGCACTGAATTGTTAGCCATGTAACTTGTCCCATTCTTGTCTCCTAGACCACTAGGAGGCAAGACATGTACATTAATAGTAACTGGCATAGGTGTAAAGGGATGTACCATAATATCTGCAGAAGCAACATTGTGTGCTTGTCCAGGTGCAGCGCACTGAACTACAGTGGTCAACAATATAGACACTATCCCTGCTCTTACAGAGTTTACATTCTAGTGAGATTATAAAGACAGTAAACATTAAAATAGAACAGAGTTGGGGATCATTTGAATGCAGAAAGTCAGTGGGCTTGCATGTTAAAGTACATGCTTAGTGACTATTGCTTTTTGAGAGCAATATCCGAGAACATCTTTCTGAGAAGGTGACACTTAATGTTTCATTTGATACATATAGACCATTGCATACCATTGCTCTAGAGCAGTGTGGGATTCCTTCTGTAGGGTTCAGTTCTTTATTTTATTTATTTATATGTATATATTTGAGAGAGAGAGGAAGGGAGAGAGAAAAACATCAGTTGGCCACCTCCCGCACATCCCCTACCAGGTACTGAGCCCAAAACCTGGGCATGTGCCCTGACCAAGATTGAACCAGTGACCCCTCAGTGCACAGGATGATGCCCGACCAACTGAGCCACACTGGCCAGGCAGGGTAGGTTCAGTTCTTTAAAAACCATGGTTCTGAATTTGAATGCCATACAGTAAATTACACTCTTTTTTTTTTTTTAATCCTCTCCTGAGGACATTTTTCCATTTTTTGTTCAGATAGAGTGGGAGAGAGCGAGAGAGAGAGAGAAACATCGAGGTAAAAGGGACACATTGAGTGGCTGCCACCCACACAACCCAACCAGGGCCAGGGACAAACTGCAACCGAAGTATGTGCCCTTAGCGGGAACCGAACTTGGGTCTCTCTGGACCATAGGCTGATGCTCTAACCGCTGAACCAGAATGGCCAGGGCAGTAAACTGCACTCTTGATCACAGTCATGTAACTAACTATAATTGCAAACTGGACGGGGTGACCATGAATAAACAGTTATTTTGAGTTTTAATTACTTTTGCACTAAATTTTGTTGCCAGATGGTAACCATTTCCCTACAGAGATTACTTTGATCAAAGCAGAGGCATGATTTAAACTAATATAGTTTAGTGAGGAGGAACATTGGACCAGGAAACAAGGGCACTGGGCTCTGATTCTGGTTAGTTTTGTGGCTGAGCTGTTTGGTCCTTAGTTCTCTTACTCTCTAAAGTAAGATAATTAGGTTAAATAATGTCTAGCAGCCTTTCCAGTTCCAATATTCTTTAATATTTTATGATTTATTAGCCTTTACTTTGGAGAATTTATAGATTTGTTATTTGTTTGTTTTAATCCTCACCAGAGGGTATGTTGATTGATTTTAGAGAGGGAGAGAGAAATATTGATGTGAGAAATAAACATCTATCGGTTGCCTCCCCTGCACACTGTGACCAGGGATCGAACCCACAACCTTAATATGTGCCCTGACTGGGAATCAAACCTGAAACCTTTCCATGTATGGGACAATGCTCCAACTAACTGAGCCACCTGGCCAGGGCTATAGATTTGTATTTTGTTCTTTTCCTCTGATGGACATTTAGCCAGCATGTATTGTATGTGAATCTATAGAACTTTCAGAACTGCTGCTCCCCTTTGCATAGGAAACAGTTAAAATGTTAGTAATCATATATGTTTCAGATTCCATTAAAATAAGTTCAAACGATGGCTTTACGGTACATATTCTACTGCATAGAATATTCATAGTTTAAAAGTCATCTTGCCCTGACCGATTTGGCTCAGCAGTTAGAATGTTGGCCTGTGGACCAATGAGTCGCGGGTTTGGTTCTGGTCAAGGGCATGTACCTTGGTTGCGGTTCATCCCCAGTCCTGGTCGGGTCATGTGGGGGGCAACCGGTCGATGTAGCTCTGTCACATTGATGTTTCTCTCTGTCTGTCTCTTTCTCTCTGTTGTCTCTCTATCTGATAATAAGTAGAAAAATATCCTTGAATGAGGAATTAAAAAAAGAGAAAAGTTATCTTGGCAGCCCAGGTGGTGTGGCGCAGTTTATTGAGCGATGTCCAATGGACTGAGAGGTCCTGGTTTGATTCCCAGTCAAGGCATATACTCAGGTTGCAAGCTTGATCCCCAGTAGGGGGCATGCAGGAGGCAGCCAGTTGTTTCTCACATTGATTTTTCTCTCTCTCCCTTCCTCTCTCTCTCCAGATTTTTTTTTTTTTTATCCTCACCTGAGGACATTTTTCGATATTTTGTTCAGATAGAGTGGGAGGGAGAAAGAGAGAGAGAAACATCTATGTGAAAGGGACACGTCGAGTGGTCGCCACCCACACAACCCAACCAGGGCCGGGGACAAACTGCAACCGAGGTACGTGCCCTTAGCAGGAACTGAACTCGGGTCTCTCCAGACCACAGGCCAGTGCTCTAACCGCTGAGCAAAACCAGCCAGGGCTCCCTTCCTCTCTCTCTAAAAAAATCTATTAAAAAAATATATTTTTAAAAAGTTATCTTGGCAGATATGGAAACAGTATTTTTGAAAGGTCCAAACATTATTTGTGTCCTCAATTTAAAAGCTGTTTAGTTTCTTTCATCAGTAAAACAGTACTCATGTGCTGTTCCTGAATGTCATTAAAATAAAAAAATGTATTACGATTAGAAAAACAATTTCTTTTCTTTTTTTTTCCTTTATTGATTTGAGAGAGAGAGAGAGAGAGAGAGAAACATTGGTGAGAGAAAACATTGATTGGCCACCTCCTGCATGCCCCACACTGGAGCTTTGGCCTAGAACCTGGGCATATGCCCTCACTGGGAATCGAACCAGCAGCCGCCTCTTGGTGCATGGGTTCATCCTCAACCACCGAGCCACACTGACCGGGCAGAAAAACAATTTCTAATAAAACTCACCTCTTTGCTTTCTATTCATTCATTGTTATTAATATCAGTATTATAAATGCAATTGTTGTGCTGTGGGTTGGTTTTGTTTTTATCAAAATGAGTAGTTCCTAAAGGATGGCTTATTTTAGTCCTGTTGTATTATCATTTAGGTTTATATTGTTTGAATTTTGTTATTTTTCATTTCTTAATATGTTGCAGGGAGATTGTTTTGTTTTGCATATGAGGTAGAGGTTATCATCAGTAGGCAAAAAGGGGTGTATTTCATTCAAATCAGTATATACTTAAGAGCATGATTTTTGGTATAGCAAGTGTTGGTATTGCCAAGTGGTCTTCATTTCTCTTCAGCACAATTATCTGTCTATCTATTAATTTATTTTTATTATTGATTTTAGAGAGAGGAAGTGGGGGGGTAGACATCGATTGACCACCTCCCACATGGACCCTAACAGATTTAACCTGCAACCCTCTGGTGTGCGGGAAGACACTCCAAGCAACTGAGTGACACTGGCCAGGGCAATTATTTATTGTTAAAGTAATTCAATCACAGTTTCCTATCTTTTTACCACCAAATATCTTTTTCTCCTCAAAACTTCATATTTTAAAATATTTGTTATGGTAATTTATAAAGAAATCATTCATCTTCACATTTTTATTCTTTAAAGATAAATGTGACTGCCAGTTAAGAATATCTGTTTAGCCCTGGTCAGTTTGGCTCAGCAGTTAGAGTGTTGGCCTGGGACCAAAGGGTCACAGGTTTGATTCTCAGTCAGGGGCTCACACCTGGGTTGCATGTTTGATCACTGGCCCCAGTTGGGGTTGTGTGGGAGGCAACCAATGGACGTGTCTCTTGCTTCGATGTTTCTCTCTCCCCCCTACCTCCCATCCACTCTATCTAAAAAAAAAAAAAAAAAGTCTTTTTAGAACAAGATAAACACGTTACCAAACTGAGTTGGTAAATTAGAATCTAATCCAAAACAAAAACTTTATGTTTTGCTAAGGTGTTAAGTCATTGTTGTTTTGTATTTAGTTTCTCTTAGGTAGTTTGAAATGTTAAAGATAGCTGTAGGGCCCAAATTGGGAACCACTAACTTCTAGGAATCCACTGGAGAAATAAACACTCACGAAAAGTACCAAAGTAGTTAAGGAATAGTCCTTTTCATCTAAAATACGCAATTGGGTTTTTTACTTTTCTGTGTTAGAAACGTCTCATTTTAAGCCTAGTTATTGTTTTGTATTGGTTGTGGTGTTTTCATTGTTCTTTTTTTGTTTGTTTGTTTTAGGAAGGAAGGCTTCAAGAAGTCATTGAAACCCTTCTCTCTTTGGAAAAACAGACCCGTACGGTGAGTAGATTATAGTGAAAACCTCAGTTACCAATAATTTCATTTAACATGGTTCCATTAACTTTGAATATATTTTTATTTTGCAGGCTTCTGATATGGTGTCTACATCCCGTATCTTAGTTGCAGTAGTGAAGATGTGTTATGAGGCTAAAGAATGGGATTTACTTAATGAAAATATTATGCTTTTGTCAAAAAGACGGAGTCAGTTAAAACAAGTAAGTTCATGATTGCTCAAAACAAATATATTCCCATTTAAATAAGGACTTTTAGAAAACCTTTCTATGAATCTGTTTTAAATCTGTTAAAGCAACTACAACATTCTAGAGAGTTTTTAAAAATTCTGTCCATCTTCTCATAACTACTTTTATTTTTGTTTCTTCTTCTAGTCTTTATAAATTGTAGTGAGAGTATTGATACAACTTTGTTCTATTTCCACATAGCCACACATCTTCATGTTTAGTAAGTAGTTCAAATGATTGTGTTATAATCCATCAAGTTGATAATCTGTTATTTACTTAGTCATGTGTCTTTTATTGAACAGTTAATATTAAAGTTACTTTTGATGCCATTTCAGATATTGTTTTGACTATTTATTTTGTTTAAAGATTATGTGCATTCTTTAGGGCGTTTTAGTAAAGTTGAATTTTTCTTTACTGCTTCCCTGTTCTTCTCCTCAAGATATATTTAAATGGTTCTCTGTAGAAGTAGATTCCAATTTTTTTTTCTTTATTGGTTTTCGAGCAAAAAGAAGGGAGAGAAAGAAATATTGATAAGAGAGAATATTGATTGGCTGCCTCCTGTATGCCTCCCACTGGGGATTGGGCCCACAACCTGGGCATGTGCCCTGACTGGGAATCGAGCCAGCAACCTCCTGGCTCATGGGTCAATGCTCAACCACTGACCAACATTGGCTGGGCCCACTTTTTATATTTCTATCTCGTTTTAAAATGTTTCCTGAGGCCCTGGCCAGTTTGTCTCAGCAGTTAGAGCGTCGGCCCATGGACCAGAAAGTCCTGGGTTTGGTTCCCAATAAGGGCACGTACCTTGGTTGCAGTTTATCCCCAGCCCTGGCCTGGGTATTGTGGGTGGCAACCAGTCGATTTGTCTCTCTCATATCGATGTTTCCCTCTCTCTGTCTTCCTCCCTTTCTCCTTCCCGCTCTGTCTGAGGATAAATGCAAAAATGTCCTCCGGTAAGGATAAAACAAAAAAAAATGTTTCCTGAGTAACTTCTGGGTTTTTATTTTTTGCTTTCAAATGATAAAGGTAATGACATTGTAAAACAGGAGAGTAGTGGAACCCAAAACAGAATAAAGGTTCTTGTCCAAGTCTCCTCCCTCCCCCTTTTGTTAATCTTCACCCAAGGATATTTTTTCCATTGATTTTTATTTTTTTTAATTAAAGCAAGTGGAAGAGAGGGAAGGGCGGGAGAGAGAGAAACATCAATGTGAGAGAGAGACATCAATTGGTTGCACACGCCCTGACCCGGGCAGGGGATTAACCCTGCAACCCAGGTATGTGCCCTTGATTGGAAATTTAACCTTAGACCCTTTGGTGCACAGGCCAACACTCTAACCACTTACTTAGCCACATGGGGCAAAGTAAAAAAAAAATTATTAGTTAGTCTGCAGCTAGAGTGAATGTAGTGGGTTAAATTTTTTGCAAAAAAAATGAAGGCCCTGGATGGTTTGGCTCAGTGGTTAGAGTGTCGGCCTGCGGTCCAGAGAGACCTGGGTTCGGTTTCCGCTAAGGGCATGTACTTCGGTTGCAGTTTGTCCCCCGCCCTGGTTTGGTTGTGCAGGTGGCGGCCACTCAATGTGTCCCTTTCATGTCGATGTTTCTCTCTCTCTCTTCCTATCTCTCCCTCTGCTCTATGTGAACAAAAAAAATGAAAAAATGTCCTCGATTATGGATTTAAAAAAAAAAAAATGAAGTTACTATAATTGTTTTTCTTTTTTTTAGATAAGTTTTTTAATGCATATAAAATTCACTGTTAAGAATTAACATAGAGCCCTGGCCAGTTTGGTTCAGCGGTTAGAGCGTCGGCCTGCGGTCCGGAGAGACCCGGGTTCGGTTCCCGCTAAGGGCACGTACTTCGGTTGCAGTTTGTCCCCGGCCCTGGTTGGTCGTGCGGGTGGCAGCCACTCGATGTGTCCCTTCACATCTATGTTTCTCACTCTCTCTCCCTTCCTCTCTCTCCCTCCCACTCTATCTGTACAAAAAATGGAAAAATATCCTCGGGTGAGGATAAAAAAAGAAAAAAGAAAAAAAAAGAATTAACATAGAGCCCAGCCGATGTGGCTCACAGGTTAAGTGTCGACCCATGCATCAAAAGGTTGCCAGTTCAATTCCCGGTGTGGGCACATGCCAAGGTTGTGGGCCAAATCCCCACTGGGGGGCATGCAGGAGGCAGCCGATCTATATTTTTACATTTTTCTCCCTCTCCCTTCCTCTTTCTCTAAAATCAATTAAAAAAAAGATTAACATGCATTTCATTGAAATAGTCTAGTACATGTGAATGTGAAATTTATTTAAATATGTTTTTGAGTGGTCAGTTCTGTGGTTTAAGCAACCCTCAGAGTGTTTGAGAGATCCACATAGATAAACCATCGTCTTCCTCTGATTTTCCAAGACATTTGCTTTCTATGGAACAATTTTGAAAGGTTTACTTAATTAGTAGTTTGGGGGAAACTTGGGTTAAACAAAAATAATGTGTTTTGTATACTATTAAGTTCAAGGCACGTGTCCTCAAATACAAATTTAATTTCATAGGGCCATAAAATTTCAGAGCTACTAGAAGGGAGTCTTACTTTTCTGATGGAGAAACAAAAATTTATATGTAAGGCTCTTGGAATGTGAAGAAATAAGCAAGTAATATATAATTTAGTACACAATATAAATCACAAGTAATAATAATACATCTTTAATAAGTGTCCTAAGATTGATTTTTTAAAATTACATACACACACAACAATATATAGTAAGTGACCTAGGAGTAGTGAAAGGTACTAAGACATATGAAAGGAGGAAGAGAAAGTTTTTTATTAGGTTTATGGGAAGACTTTTTGGAGAAAGGAGTTTGAGTTAGTCTAACAGCTGGCCAATTACATAACCTAAACTGGACCCAGGACTGCACCTTTTGCTCTAACATATGTCTTCATAGTTGTGGAAAGTGCTTAGGGGCTCAAAATATCTCTCCACTTTTCTCATAATGACTTTTTTACCTAAAACTTTTACTTTTGTTTTTATTTTTGCCTTGTCAGACTTAGAAAGTAATGCTTTTCTTAACCTGTCTAGATTCTTAATGGTTTCTAATTCACTGTCACTTGAGTTCAGGGGGGTAAGCCTCACTCCAAATATAACTTACCTACTTTTTTTTACCTGCTTTTTTTTTTTTTTTTTTTTTTTACAGGGAACAACAGGATGTTTAGTTTTGATAATTGTGTTTTGTTTTTAACCCCATCTGATTTCTATTAATGCATTTTTTGCACAGCTTTTAGAATTATCAGTGCTCTTCTAGAAGTCATTATAATTAATTTTATTTTGTTTTAATCTTTATTGTTGAATGAATTACAGATGTTCCTTCTTTTTCCCCCATTGACCCCTTCTTCCCCACTCCCGCCCCCTCCCGCCTTTCCCCACACTGTTGTCTGTGTCCATTGGTTATGCATATAAGTTCTTTGGTTTATTTCTTCCCACCCCCAGCCCCCTTCTCTTTGAGGTTTGTCAGTCTAGCAACCAATTTGTTCTTAATCCCTTCACCTTTTTCACCCTTTCCCCCAACCCCCCTCCCATCTGGCAACCAACAAAATGTTCTTTGTATCTACCAGAATGTTTCTGCTCTGCCTGTTCATTTTGTTTGTAGATTCCATTGTCGATAGATATGTATTCATTGCCATTTTGTTTGTTCATATATTTTATCATTTTCTTCAAAAAGACCCTCAACCTTTCATATAATAATGGTTTGGTGGTGATGAACTCCTTTAGCTTTTTCTTGTCTGGGAAACTATTTATATGGCCATCGATTCTAAACGTCAGTTTTGCAGGGTAGAGTAATCTTCATTGTAGGTTCTTACTTTTCATCACTCTGAATATTTCTTGCCACTCCCTTTTGGCCTGCAAAGTTTCTTTTGAGAAATCAGCTGACAGTCTTATGGGAACTCCCTTGTAGGTAACTAGCTGCTTTTCTCTTGCTTCTTTTAAGATTCTTTCTGTGTCTTGAACCTTTTGCATTTTGATGATGATGTGTATTGGTGTGGGCCTCCTGGGGTTCATCTTGTTTGGGGCTCTCTGTGCTTCCTCGACTTGTATGTCTGTTTCCTTCACCAAGTTAGGAAAGTTCTCTGCCATTATTATTTCAAATAGGTTTTCGATTTCTTGTTCTCTCTCTTCTCCTTCTGGCACCCCCAAGATGCGAATGTTGGCATGCTTGAAGTTGTCCCAGAGGCTCCTTACACTACCCTCATTTTTTTGGATTCTGTTTTCTTTTTGTTGTTCTGATTGGGTGTTTTTTGCTTCCTGATATTCCAAATCGATGGTTTGCTTCTTGGCTTTACCTACTCTACTATTGAATCTCTGTAAATTATTCTTTTTTTTTTTTTTTTAAATATCCTCTTTATTTTATTAGATTGTAAGGTTAAGATTTTTTTTTTTTTAATCCTCACCTGAGGACATTTTTCCATTTTTTGTTCAGATAGAGTGAGAGGGAGGGAGGGAGAAACAGAAACATTGACGTGAGAGAGAGAGAGAAACAGAAACATCAACGTGAAAGGGACACATCGAGTGGTTGCCACCTACATGACCCAACCAGACCAGGGACAAACTGCAACCGAGGTACATGCCCTTAGCGGGAACCGAACCTGGGTCTCTCCGGACTGCAGGCCAATGCTCTCACTGCTGAGCAAATCCGGCCAGGGCGCGTCCTTTATTGCTGACTGTTCCTTTTTTATGTTCTTTAGGTCCTCACTAAGTTCACTGAGGTTTTCACTAAGTTCACTGAGCATCCTTATAAACAGTATTTTGAACTCAGCATCTGTTAGGTTGCTTATCTCCATTTCGCTTAGTTCTTTTATTGGGGTTTGTTCTGTGCTTTCATTTGGGACCTGTTTCTTTGTCTCCTCATTTTGGCTGCCTCCCTGTGTTTGTTTCTGTGTATTACTTAATGAGAGGTATGGGGCTCGCTGAGACCAGATGCTGCTTGTTTGAAAGAATTTAGGAAAACCTGAAGCAGGATCCAAGACAGGCCAAGCCTATGGTTAAGCAACTGGCAACAGCTTGGGTGGGCCTGAAAGTTGGGTGGGGCAGGGCGGGGCCTCAGGGAGTCACCAGGGCGGGGCTACCAGTGTGAGCCAGGTTGCTGGAGTCCCAGATATGGCGGCTGTCTGCCGCCCCCAGGAAGGGCTCACCAAAGGAACAAAGGCCTCTGACAGCACATTTGTCCCAGAGAAAGCCCCCTCTCCAGCCCTCGCTCCAGTGCCAAACAGCTCAGTTCTTCCCTGTGTCTCTGGCGCCCCTCAAGCTGCCTCCCTCTAAGCTCAGAGGGAGACAGTCCGATAAGTCCGTGCGCGGGCCCTTTAAGGAGCTGCCTGGGGCTCCAGCCGCTTCAGCTTCCCTGAGCCTCAGTTCCCGCTGGTTTTTCCAGCCAGAAGTTATGGGGACTTCTCTTCCTGGCACTGGAACCCTGAGCGGGGCACCTGGTGTGGGATGGGGACCCCTCAGTCCTCAGGAAGGACCTTCCCAGCCAAGGTGTCCTCCTGATTTTTATCCACCACATGTGGGTGTGGGACCAGCCCGACAGCGTCCGCCCCTCCTACCAGTCTGGATGTGGCTGCTTCTTTAACTCCGTAGTTGTAGGACTGCCATTCAGCTTGATTTCAGGCGGTTTTGAATGATGGGTGTTCTGTAGTTTAGTTGCAATTTTGATGTGGTTGTCGGAGGACACGATACCGCATTTACCTACACCACCATCTTGACCGGAAGAAGGTACTATCTCCCATTGTAATTAATTTTAGAAGGTTCCTATGTTTTTTTGTTTGTTTGTTTGTTTGTTTGTTTTATCCTCACCCGAGGACATTTTTCCATTTTTTGTTCAGGTAGAGTGGGAGGGAGAGAGAGGAACAGAGAGAGAGAGAGAAACATCGATGCGAAAGGAACACATCGAGTGGCTGCCACCCGCACGACCGACCAGGGCCGGGGACAAACTGCAACCGAGGTACGCGCCCTTAGCGGGAACCGAACCCGGGTCTCTCAGGACCGCAGGCCGACACTCTAACCGCTGAGCCAAACCGGCCAGGGCTGTTTTTTTGAAATATATGTGTCCCAGAGCCTTGAACTTATTGAAAGAGTTATAGTTTACAATAAAACTTTGCTTTCCAGAATACCTGGGTGTCTGAACAAATTTTTCAGACAAAAGTCTAATCTGGACTACATGAACATTAAATGTTTTTCAAGGAAATCTTTGCAAAATATACCATGGGATGTTTTTTTCAGCCTTATTGAGGTATCATTGACAGCATGATAGTCTGTTTACTTTTCTATCATAAACAAAATATGCTTAATATAATTTAACATGTTTGTAATGACAGAGAGTCCTAATTATTATTATTAATGATTATGATATGCTGTTTAGAGTCTAGAAGTTGGAAAACTATGGGTCATGGACCAAATCCCACCTGCCAACTTTGTAAATACAAGTTTTTTTAATGTAGCCATGTCCATTTGTTATGAATTGTCTCTCAAAGCTTTGGAGTTAAAAGGCAAGCTTGAATAGTTGCCCTAAAGACCCTATGACCTACAGAGTCTAAAATATTTACTATGTAAATATCTACAGAAAAGGTTTGCCTGATCCCTGACCTAGATCATGGAATGTTAGAACTAGAGGAAATGTAATCCAACTATGAGGAAGCTGTGGACAAGAGTTGCTGTTCCTTTCCCTGTCACATTTAATTGAGATGAGTATGAGTGACTGGTTCCTCCTCCCCACCCAGATGATGGAACTGGTTTCTGCTACTGACTCTTTTTTCTTCAGTCATATTATCTGCTGGTCATTGCCTCACTGCTCTAACAGCCAAAGTTGAACTCTGCTTTTCTCTTTCTCATTCTTCTTTTTTGTGGTATCTGCCCCTACTGGGAACCGAACCCAGGACTCTCTGGTCCGCAGGCCGATGCTCAACCGCTGAGCCAAACTGGCCAGGGCTCTTTCTCTCTTTTTTTTTTTTTATCCTCACCCGAGGACATTTTTCCATTTTTTGTACAGATAGAGTGGGAGGGAGAGAGAGGAAGAGAGAGAGAGGGAATCATCGATGTGAAAGGGACACATCGAGTGGCTGCCACCCGCACGACCAACCAGGGCCGGGGACAAACTGCAACCGAGGTACATGCCCTTAGCAGGAACCGAACCCGGGTCTCTCCGGACCGCAGGCGGACTCTCTAACCGCTGAGCCAAACCGGCCAGGGCCTCTTTCTCATTTTTATTCTTATTTTTACCTTTAGTCTGTTTTCCTTTCTTCCATATGTCTCTGCTTGGTACAAAAAAAGCTAGCTAGCAAGCCTTCCAATAGACATTGCCTACTGTGCCTCTTCCGCCTTTCCTCCTTGCACCGGAGGGTTTCCTAACCTTCATTGATTTGTTCCTGGGTATTCAGTACTTCTTAGCTATCAGGGAGGTTTTTTCAGTGTGTAAACTTGCTTGGGAAGACCACATTTAACCACAGCACTTCTATCAATAAGATACTTCCTTTTCCTGAATGAAGAATGTATTTTATTTATGAGCAATTTTTATTATTTTAGGCTGTTGCAAAAATGGTTCAACAATGCTGTACTTACGTTGAGGAAATCACAGACCTTCCAATCAAACTTCGATTGATTGATACCCTACGAATGGTTACAGAAGGAAAGGTGAGTTGTCTATTGGCATAACTCACAGTGATAAGTACTCTCTTACTTGTATTCAGAGATATTTATATATTTAGACATTTTATATTAGTATGTAAAAAATGTTAATTTTTCACCCTGGCCTAGATCTTCAGAAGTCTATGTTTGGGCCCTAGCTGGGTAGCTCAGTTGGTTAGAGCATCGTCCAGATACGCCAAGGTTGTAGGTTCAGTCCCTGGTCAGGGCACCTACAAGAAGTGCATAAATGAGTGGAACAACAGATTGATGTTTCTCTTTCTCTTTCTAAAAATCAATAATAATAATAAATACAACAGCAAAAGCCCAACCTCAAAATAATAATAAAAATGCATCTGACACCAGAGCTATCTTAATAAAAAAAGAATTCTTTGGGATAGCTAAGGTTTCACTCTTAATATTTAAATTATTAAAGTATTTGCAGTGTGAAGTTAATTTTCAAAATTTTGCTGTGATGTCCTCCCCTCTACCCCCAATGTCATGTTTCTCTCAAAAGGGGCAAGTACAGAATGATGACTGTGTTGGATATGTTTCTTTCTAAATAAATTTTTGTGGTTTGAAGACAAAAGCTTGTGTTTAACTTTTTGACTCTTTAACTGTCAGTTCAGTTCAGTAAATGTTATGAGTGCCTGTGTTGTGCTAGGTCCAAATTGAGCAAGAACTGTTCTTTTACCTTAAAGAGATCAGTCATAGAAAAAATTCCTGGCTGTGTCATGATACTAGCAGTGTTCCTATAGTTCCCAATAGAACAGATGTCGAGATGGACTAGCTGAGGTGCCAGGGAAGCCACAAAGTTGAGGATGGGCCAGGGGCTTGGGAAAAGGGCATTTTACACACAGCGAAAATAATACACAAAGATACCAAAGTAAGAAACATCTAGTATATTTAGGAAACTGTAAGTAGTTTGTTATTATTAGAGATTAAGGTTTCGGGGGGTGTAGTGGGGAAAAGGGGTTACTGCAGGGCATAGGCTAAATGGGGAGCCTTAGCATGAAAATTAGTTTCCTAAGCTCTGTGAGCTGTGTAGTTATATTTTTAATGTTTAATTTGTTGGAAGTTACAATCCATTAATATTACTTATAACCACAAAAATGCTAGTAATGTTAATACTTTGCAAGATCAGATTTTTTTAAAGAAAGTAGTCTTGTATTTAAAAATAAGTCAATTAGAATATTGGTTGAATTGTAGCTATTGGACTGCATATGCTCTTTGTAAAGGGTGTTATTTTTCAAGTAATCTATTTTTTTAAAGGTACTTTTTGTTTCTGTGCCATTTGTATAGCATGTGGTTCTGTTATTAAACAGCAGTGATTTTATAGAGACATTTTCTTAAAAATTTATTGATTGTGAAATATAAAATATAGCTGTTTGTACATGAAGGACTAAAGTACACAATAACTCGCCCTGGCCAGTTTGGCTCAGCAGTTAGAGTGTCGGCCTGCGGTCCGGAGAGACCCGGGTTCGGTTCCCGCTAAGGGCACGTACTTCGGTTGCAGTTTGTCCCCGGCCCTGGTTGGTTGTGCGGGTGGCAGCCACTCGATGTGTCCCTTCACATTGATGTTTCTCATCTCTCTCCCTCCCACTCTATCTGTACAAAAAATGGGAAAATATCCTCAGGTGAGGATAAAGTACACAATAACTCCAAGATAAATACTCTAAACCTAGTTTAAGTAATAGTTCATGTCTATCTTTTAAATGTTAACACATTTCTGTAGGAATTTTGATGACAATAGCTTTCTCATCTTTGTAGATTTATGTTGAAATTGAGCGTGCACGACTGACTAAAACATTAGCAACTATCAAAGAGCAAAGTGGTGACGTCAAAGAGGCAGCCTCTATTTTACAAGAGTTACAGGTAAGGTGCTGCATTTTAGAGTGTGTAAGTTTCTGTTTGGTCAGCAGTATTGTCTTATTTGGGGATTTTATTGCTTTTTTCTAAAGTACCATGATTAAGAGTGAGTACAGTAGAGTGTGAGGTTATTCAAAGAGCTAGAAACAGAGTAATTATGGTCCCAAATAAATTTAACTGCTGAGGAAGTTTCGAAGAGCATTAGGATCAATAAGTTAATTTTTATGTTGTCCTATTATTTGAACCTTTCAATTCTCCTCAATTTAAATAAAATCTGTAGTTCAATTGACATTTTAATTGGCATAACTCACAGTGATAGATTTAGTAATTCATATACTATTTATGCCTTAAGAATTTGCTTTTTTTTTGGTACGTGCCCCTAGCGGGACCCAAACCCGGGACTCTCTGGTCCGCAGGCCAACGCTCCAACCATTGAGCCAAACCGGCCAGGGCAAGAATTTGCAATTATTTATTGGCTCTGTTCTTAATGAATATTTGATTATTGGTCAGTTTCTGGGCTCAATTAGTGTTAACAAAAAAAAAAAAATTCCCTCATAATTTGCCAGGTTTCTGGACAATTCTTAAGAAAGATTTTAAACTAAGACAACAAAGAACTAAAGAAATCTGAAAAAAACCATAGGCTCTCTCACCAGAAAAATGTACATAAACTGTGTTCAAAATTTAGCTTATAATTTTAGCCCTTCAAGGGCTCTTCATTAAATTAAATAGATTATTCTAGCTTTTCAATCATGTACCTGTGTTGTGCATTGTCATTGTTCTTTTTGTTATTTAAACATGTCCTATTTTCTCTGTATACTTGATCTCATTTAATGTTCACACACAACACTATTTTAACCCCATGTTCAGCCATGGAAACTGAGACTCAAAAAAGTTGTGTAACTTAGCCCTGGCCGGGTAGCTCAGTTGGTTAGAGTGTCATCCTGATGCACCAAGGCTGTGGGTTCAATCCCCTGACAAGGCACAAGAAGCAACCAATTAATGCATAAATAAGTGGAACAACACATTGATGTTTCTTTCTCTCTCTTCCCACCTTCCTCTCTCTCGAAAATAAATTAAAATTAAAAAGAAAAAGTTGTGTAACTTGCCTAAAGTTGTTACCATCAAATGTTTGAGTTTGGATTCATATTAGTTCTGTTTGACTTCAAACTCATTTTTTTTTTCTTTTTAATTAAAATACTCTATGTTTAAGAGCAGTTTTAGGTTCATAGCAAAATTGAGTTGAAAGTACAGAGATTTCCTCATATACCCCCTTGCCCCACACACTCAAAACCTCCCCTAGAGAGGTACATTCTGCACCAGAGGGGTACATTAGTTACAGCTGAGGAATCTACACTGGCATATCATCATCACCCAGAGGCCATAGAGTAATTAGGGTTCACGCTTGTGCTGTACATTCTGTGGGTTTTGACAAGTGTATAATGACGTGTGTATACCATTATAGTATTACACATTATAGGTTTTTACTGTTCGTAGAAATCCTCTGTACTCTGCCAGTTCACCTTTCCCTCCCCCGGATGCCTGGTGACCACTGTCTTTTTACTGTCTGCGTAGTTTCTCCTTCAAACTGTTTTTCAGCCAAGAGGACTGTGCCTCATAGTTCACCAGTCCCTGTGAAATATTCTTGCCTAAAAAATTAATCTCAACTATACAAAGATTCTAGGTTTACCCACCAGTTTACAGGGTATTTCAGGGACAGCTGTTAAATTAGCAAAATGAAGATTCTAAGAAACTAGTATGATTGACTTGATTTCTTGAACAAATAAATGGCAAGGGAAAAAAGACATAAGAAACATATCTACCATTTGCAAAGTATGAGCCGTATGTGCATTTGATTTGACTATAAAAATAAATGAAACTTGGGAATTGACTAGATATTTGGTGATAATAGGGAATTTTTAGGTATGATAATGTTTTCTCAAAGTTTATCTTTTAGAACTGTTGAAATAGTTATACATAATATGTTGTCTGAGATTTGCTTCAAAGTACTTGATACACGGAGAGTGGGTGGAGAAGTTTAAATGAGACATTGATGGTTCATTGTACATGTTTTTATTTTCCTTAAAAAATTACAAAGAGCCCTGGCTGGTTTGGCTCAGCAGTTGGAGCGTTGGCCTGTGGACCAGAGAATCCCAGGTTCAGTTCCCACTAGTGGCAAATACCAAGAAAAAAAGAAAAGAAAAAATTACAAAGAAAACAGTGAAATAAAAACATTTTCAGCCCTGGCCAGTTTGGCTCAGCGGTTAGAGCGTCAGCCTGCGGTCCGGAGAGACCCGGGTTCGGTTCCCGCTAAGGGCATGTACTTCGGTTGCAGTTTGTCCCCGGCCCTGGTCGGTTGTGCGGGTGGCAGCCACTCGATGTGTCCCTTCACGTCAATGTTTCTCTGTCTCTCTCCCTTCCTCTCTCTCCCTCCCATTCTATCTGTACAAAAAATGGAAAAATATCCTCGGGTGAGGATTAAAAAAAAAACAAAAAAAAACATTTTCAGACCAAATTGTAATAATAATAGTCTTACCTTATTCTGCTGTGTAAATGTGTCATTCTGGATTTTATAATTTCATTTACAATATATGTATACCAAATATTTTATTAAGGAACTTTTACATAGTATTTGGTATAATTGATTTTGTACATCGTATTTGTGTATATATACTGTAACTCTACATTCTACATCCATATATATCAGCCTTGTTATCTGAATTAAGAAAAGACGCCCTAGCTGGTTTGGCTCAGCGGTTAGAGCGTCGGCCTGCGGTCCAGAGAGACCTGGATTCGGTTCCCGCTAAGGGCACGTACCTTGGTTGCGGTTTGTCCCCGGCCCCCTGGTTGGTCGTGTGGGTGGCAGCCACTCAATGTGTTCCCTTTTTTTTTTTTTTTTTTATCCTCACCCGAGGACACCCCTCTACTTTTCATCCAGATAGAGCTGGAAGTAGAGAGAGGACGAGAGAGAAACATCGATATGAAAGGGACACATCAAGTGGCCGCCACCCACACAACCCAACCAGGGCCAGGGACAAGCTGCAGCCAAGGCACATGCCCCTAGCGGGAACCGAACCCGGGTCTCTGTGGACCGCCGGCTGACACTAACCGCTGAGCCAAACCGGGCAGGGCTCAATGTGTCCCTTTCACGTCGATGCTCTCTCTCTCTCTCTCTCTCTCTCTCCCTCCCTCCCCATTTTATCTGAACAAAAAATGAAAAAATGTCCTCGAGTGAGGATAAAAAACAAAAGACAAGTGCCTCTTTTTTATATAATGGTTTCGACTAATATATAAATAGAAAGTCTGCAGTTGGCATCTTTTTTATATTTAGAATTATAATTTCCTTATTAGCCATTAGGAAAAAGCAAATAAAACCACAAGATACCACTACTTACCTACTAGAATAGCTAAGATAAAAAAATACTGACAATACGAAGTGATGGCAGGGATTTTGCAAAGCAACTAGAACTCTCATAAATTGCTGATAGGAATGCAGAATGGTTCAGCCACTCTAGAAAACAGTTTGACAGTTTTTTATAGTAACTTTATTTGTGATAGGCAAAAGATGGAACCAGGAGTCCTTGTGGGCATGCACTGGGCAGCATGGCATCCCTTGGCCAGAGGGGGCTGGGCGGATCAGTGATGCCCGAAAGCATGGCTGTGGGTGTCTAGTTGACCCTCCCACCAGGATCACTCCCTGGTAGGGTGCAGAGGGGAAGAGAGATGGGGAGGGTATAGGAGGGAGAGAAGAAGGAGCAGGGAGGGAAATATGCAGGACTGAGAAGGAGCCAGGTGGCTGGAGACTGAGCATTCAGATCTTGTGACCTGTTCAGAGGGTGGGGAGAGGGGAGTGTGGATATGGATCCTCACTCTCCCCAGGCCAAAAGTCTGGATTGGTGTGGGCAAGGCCAGAGCGTCTCTTCCTTTGTGGTTTGGGTTGGAGGGTGAGAAGTGTCATTTCTCACCTTCTTGAGTCTAGACAGGCCCCTCTTCACCTCCATGCCTCTATGTCCATATTCCAGAAAGGGCCAGTCAGAGGAGGCATGTTTCTTTGTGGCGACAACCCTGGTTTCCTTTGAGAAGGAGGGTGCAGAATGGAGTAGGGGAGGGCGGCTGTGGTAGGAGTAGAAGCAGCTCAGAGCTAAGCGCTTTCTGGAATCCCAGTCATTGGCTGTCCTGTGTAGCAGCTAGTCATTTGGGGGGTGGGGCAAAGGGGGCCTGTGCTGGGTCTGGGGGAGTCTCCTGAGTTCCCCGGGGCCCAAAAGTAAGGAAGAAAAAAAGATGAAATCAGCTCCAAATAGTCTTCAACAGGTGAATGGATAAACCATGGTTTATCCATACAATGGAATACTACTTAACAATAAAAAGGAAAGAATTATTGATATGCACAATGAATGAGTCGTATTCTTCAAAGCATTATGCTGAATAAACAGATGGTCTCAAAAGGTTGTATACTCTACTTGACATTCCTGAAAAGACAACTCTATAGTGATAGAACAGATCAGTGGTTGTCAGGGGATATGAGAGGGGGAAACATGTGACTATGAAGGGATATCATGAGGGAGTTTTGGTGGGGTGATAGAATTGTTCTATATCTTGATTGTGATGGTGGTTGCACAAATTTATAAATGTGTTAAAATTTATAGAACTTTATACCAAAAGAAAAAAATTTTATTTTAGTATATAATTTTCTGGAGGAAACTAGCTTTTTATATCATCAGCACTCCCAAAATGCATGAGAGTTCTTATTATTTCAAGGGTGAATATTTTAATATATATTCAGTTTTGCTCCAGTTTTAAGATATTATAAATTAATTTGGGGACTTCCTTTGCTAGGTGGAAACCTACGGGTCAATGGAAAAGAAAGAGCGAGTGGAGTTTATTTTGGAGCAAATGAGGCTCTGCTTAGCTGTGAAGGATTACATTCGTACACAGATCATCAGCAAGAAAATTAACACCAAATTTTTCCAGGAAGAAAATACAGAGGTAAGCATATTTAAATATAAATTTACTTTAAAAGTGTTTAGGGCAGCCCTGGCCAGTTTGGCTCAGGGGTAGACCATTGGCCCACGGACCGATGAGTTGCGGGTTCAATTCTGGCCTGGGGCACATACCTTGGTTGTGGTTCGTCCCCAGCCCTGGTTGGGGTCCTGTAGAAGGCAGCCAGTCGATGTGTCTCGTGCATCAATGTTTCTCTCTCTCTCTCTCCCCCCTTCCCTCCCCCTCTATCCTTCTCTCCCCCTACCACTTTATCTGAAGATATTTGGGAAAAAATACCCTGAGGATTTAAAAAAAAAAAAAGATTTTAGGGCAAAAACCCATAAACCTCAATTTATTATGTCAACTTTTATTTCAGAAATTAAAGTTGAAATACTATAACTTAATGATTCAACTGGATCAACATGAGGGCTCCTATTTGTCTATTTGTAAGCACTACAGAGCAATATATGATACTCCCTGTATACAGGCAGAAAGTGAAAAGTGGCAACAGGTAAGAATATATTCTTATACTTGACATTGATACTTATTAGGAACAATTTGCATTTTTAAATTTATTATGAAATGATTTTAACTTTAGTAATTGTATGTAATTTAATGTTGCTTTGTATTCGTTGTGTTGGAAATTCAGTTTATCCTTATTGATTCAGACAAATTGTGGCAATACTTATTACCTTGAAAGAAATAGGCTTACTATTAAAAATATGTATAGCACTTCCAGTCAAGATGGCAGGTAGGTAAACGCGGTATCACGTCCTCCCACAACCACATCAAAGTTACAACTAAACTACAGAACACCCATCATTCAAAACCGCCTGAAATCAAGCTGAATGAAGTCCTACAACTACGGAGTTAAAGCAGCAGCTGCATCAAGACTGGTAGGGGGGTGGAGGTTGACGGGCTGGTCCCACACCCACGTGTAGCAGATAAAAATCAGGAGGACACCTCGGCTGGGACGGTCTTTCCTGAGGACTGAGGGGTCCCTGTCCCACACCAGGTGCCCCGCTCAGGGTTCCAGTGCCAGGAAGAGAATCCCCATAACTTCTGGCTGGAAAAACCAGCGGGAACTGAGGCTCAGGGAAGCTGACGCAGCTGGAGCCTCGGGCAGCTCCTTAAAGGGCCCGCGCACGGACTTGTCGGACTCTCTCCCTCTAAGCTTGGAGGGGAGGCAGCTCGAGGGGCACCAGAGACTCACAGGGAAGAACTGAGCTGTTTGGCACTGGAGCGAGGGCTGGAGAGGGGGCTTTCTCCGGGACACACGTGCTGTCAGAGGCCTTTGTTCCTTTGGTGAGCCCTTCCCAGGGGGCGGCAGACAGTCACCATATCTGGGACTCCAGCAACCTGGCTCACACTGGTAGCCCCACCCTGGTGACTCCCTGAGGCCTCGCCCCTCCCCACCCAACTTTCAAGCCCACCCAAGCTGTTGCCACTTGCTTAACCATAGGATTGGCCTGTCTTGGATCCTGCTTCGGGTTTTCCTAAATTCTTTCAAACAAGCAGCATCTGGTCTCAGCGAGCCCCATACCTCTCATTAAGTAATACACAGAAACAAACACAGGGAGGCAGCCAAAATGAGGAGACAAAGAAACAGGTCCCAAATGAAAGAACAGAACAAACCCCAATAAAAGAACTAAGCGAAATGGAGATAAGCAACCTAACAGATGCTGAGTTCAAAATACTGCTTATAAGGATGCTCAATGAACTTAGTGAGAACCTCAGTGAACTTAGGGAGGGCCTCAAGAGCATAAAAAAGGACCAGTTAGAAATCATGGATACACAATTAGAATTGAAGGAGGCATTAACTGAAATAAAGAATAATTTACACAGCTTCAATAATAGAGTATGTAAATCCAAGGAGCTAACCATCGATTTGGAATATTAGGAAGCAAAAAATGCCCAATCAGAACAGCAAAAAGAAAAAAGAATCCAAAAAAATGAGGATAGTGTAAGGAGCCTCTGGGACAACTTCAAGTGTGCCAACATTCGCATCTTGGGGGTGCCAGAAGGAGAAGAGCAAAAACAAGAAATCGAAAACCTGTTTGAAACAATAATGGCAGAAAACTTTCCTAACTTGGTGAAGGAAACAGACATACAAGTCCAGGAAGCATAGAGAGTCCCAAACAAGATGAACCCCAAGAGGCCCACACCAAGACACATCATCATCAAAATGCAAAAGCTTCAAGACAAAGAGAGAATCTTAAAAGCAGCTAGGCCCTGGCCAGTTTGGCTCAGCGGTTAGAGCGTTGGCCTATGGTCCGGAGAGACCCGGGTTCGGTTCCCGCTAAGGGCACGTACCTTGGTTGCAGTTTGTCCCCGGCCCTGGTTGGGTCGTGTGGGTGGCAACCACTTGATGTGTCGCTCTCACGTCGATGTTTCTCTCTCTCTCTCTCTCTCCCTCTCACTCTATCTGAACAAAATATCTAAAAATGTCCTCGGGTGAGGATAAAAAAAAAAAAAGGAGAAAAGCTGCTAGTTACCTACAAGGGAGTTCCCATTAGGCTGTCAGCTGGTTTCTCAAAAGAAACTTTGCAGGCCAGAAGGGAGTGGCAAGAAATATTCAGAGTGATGAAAACCAAGAACCTACAACCAACATTACTCTATCCTGCAAAGCTGTCATTTAGAATCGATGGACATATAAAAACTTTCCCAGACAAGAAAAAGTTAAAGGAGTTCATCACTACCAAACCGTTATTATATGAAATGAGGAAGGGTCTTTTTGATGAAAAAGATAAAATATATGAACAAACAAAATGGCAATGAATACATATCTATCGACAATGGAATCTACAAACAAAATGAACAGGTAGAACAGAAACATCCTCATAGATACAGAGAACATTTTGTTGGTTGCCAGTTGGGAGGGGGGTTGGGGGAATGGGTGAAAAAGGTGAAGAGATTAAGAAGTACAAATTCATTGCTAGTCTGACAAACCTCAAAGGGAAAGGGGTTTGGGGGGTGGAAGAAATAAACCAAAGAACTTATATGTATAACCAATGGACATAGATAATAGTGTGGGAAAAGGTGGGAGGGGGGCGGGAGTGGGGAGGAGGGGGTCAATGGGGGGAAAATGTGGAACATCTGTAATACATTTTACATCCAACAATAAAGATTTAAAAAATAAATAAATAAATATGTATAGCAGGTCACCTGCTAACAAGGTTACATGTAAAGACCTAGCATTACTTTGGAAATGATTTTACATAAATTATTTTAAATAGCTTATATGTGTATTCTGTAAAATTTTGTTATAAGAACTTTTTCTTTTATACATTTGTTAAAAAAAATCAGCCCAGGTAGTACTTCAAATTAGCAAAGATTTATTGTAATAATTTTATGAAATCTAAATATTACAGAAAGACATTGTGAAAAGAGCAGCCTGGTAAGATATTTTTCTTCTAAGACTTTTGAGTACAATATTTAAAGTTAATATATACAATTATTTCATGAGTTTTTAGTTCCTGCCAAAGTTTTTATTTTGTTTCTAATCTTCCATATAATCTATTGTGTTGTACACTTTTTTAGGCTCTGAAAAGTGTTGTCCTCTATGTTATCTTGGCTCCTTTTGATAATGAGCAGTCAGACTTGGTTCACCGAATAAGTGGTGACAAGAAGTTAGAAGAAATCCCAAAATATAAGTAAGTATCTTTATAACTGATTTACTATGCCTCAGTAGAAGTACCATTTTGAAGGAAAATTCATTAATCCAAAGGTACACTTCTTAACTGGTTACTGATAAATTGTATTAGATAATAAAACTGGAGGTAATAGTGAAATGTTTTTTATAGTTCTGCATTAGAAATTAATGAGTTTATTCATTCTAAACCACTTATCAAGTAGAAGTTTTTTTTTGTTTTTTTTTATTGATTAATTTTTGTTACAAATGATTCTCCTTTTTTCACCCAGTGGTTCCCCCCTCCCCCTAGAAGTTTTATTTTAAGTTAATTTTAACAACTTTCGTTTAACCATTTGATAAAGGTTTTATCATCAGTAGTTGGGGCTTTTATGTTTCATTTAAAAGGTTATAGTCATTAGTCCAGAAACTGCAAATATAGTATAGTAGAGAGCATAGTGTTGAGCACCAGAATGCTATATTCAAAATTACTGGGGGGGGAAATGGTAGCAAAATTGGTAACATTTGTAAGAATCCACTTGGTTGTTATTCTACAAATAAAAATTTATTTTTAAAAACAGTCCTTGTTGATATTTAAGACTTTGCTGTTACATTAGATGAAAGTTATTATACAGATTTGAAATATTAAGATTTATATAATTTACAGGGATCTTTTAAAGCTTTTTACCACAATGGAGCTGATGCGTTGGTCTACACTTGTTGAAGACTATGGAATGGAATTAAGAAAAGGTTCTCTGGAAAGTCCTGCAACTGATGTTTTTGGTTATACAGAAGAAGGTGAAAAAAGGTGGAAAGACTTGAAGAACAGAGTTGTCGAACATGTAAGAGTCTGGTGTGGTAGAGATGACAGTTTAGAAGTAAAGTTTGGCAAATTTGAGCATAAACTTTTTTTTTTTTTATCCTCACCCAAGGACATTTTTGCATTTATCTTCAGATAGAGCAGGAGGGAGAGAGAGAGAGAGACACATCGACTGGTTGCCACCCACATGATCCCAACCGGGGCCCGGGTAAACTGCAATCGACGTACGTGCCCTTAGTGGGAACCGAACCCGGAACTCTGGTCCACGGGCCGACACTCTAACCACTGAACCAAACCAGCCAGGGCGAGCATAAACTTTTTATGTTGGATAGTCAAATGTGTCAGCGTGCTTCATTTTGAGAGGACCTCTCAAGAATCCAAAATTTTGACCCTGGCCGGTTTGGCTCAGTGATAGAGCATTGGCCTGTGGACCAATGGGTCCCGGGTTCGATTCCTGCCAAGGGCACGTACTTCAGTTGCTATTCGTCCCCGGCCCTGGTCAGGATCATGCGGGAGGCAACCAGTTGATGTGTCTCTCTCACGTCGATGTTTTTCTTTTTCCCTGTCTCTCTCTCTCTCTCTCTAACTGAAGATGAATAGAAAAATATCTTTGGGTGAGGATAAAAAAAAAGAATCCAAAATTTTGTAGCACACATATCAGAAGGAATTTTTAATTTTATTTTTTTATCCTCTCCCAAGAACATTTTTGCATTTACCTTCAGATAGAGTGGGAGGGAGAGAGGGAGGAAGAGAGAGAGAGAAACATCGATATGAGAGAGACATATCGAGTGGTTACCACCCACACGATGCAACCGGGGCCGGGGACAAACTGCAACCAAGGTACGTGCTCTTAGCGGGAATCGAACCCAGGACTCCCTGCTTCACTGGCCGACGCTCTAACCACTGAGCAAAACGGGACAGGGCTAAAAAATTTCTTTCTTTTTTTTTGGTACGTGCCCCTAATGGGAACTGAACCCGGGACTCTCTGGTCTGCAGGCTGACGCTCCAACCACTGAGCCAAACCGGCCAGGGCTAAAAAATTTCTGAAATATGTTTTTATTGATTTTTTAGAGAGAGCAGAAAGGAGAGAGAGATAGAAACATTGATGTGAGAGAGATCCATTGATCAGCTGCCTCCTGCACGCTGGGGATCAAGGCCACAATCTGGACATGTACCCTGACCAGCATTTGAACCAGGACCTCTCAGTCCGTGGGACAGCACTCATCCACTGAGCCACACAGGCCGGGCTTAGTACAGTTACAATTTTTAATCATTAATTTAAGATAAATTTATATTTTGACTGTATTTTAACAGTGTTGTGGCAGTAACTCAGAATAACTTACAAATCACTGCAAGAACCAAAATATTTCAGTATTTACTTTATTAAAATTTAGAACCAGCATCATTCCAGCAGTGGGCTATGGAAAAAATAAAAGGTCTGAGTCTGACATTGTAACTAAACCTATTTGGATATGAAAATAAATGGACTTTTGGCCTTACCAACAACTATTGTTCTCTTTGCCCGTTCTTCTCTCCCCAGAATATTAGAATAATGGCCAAGTATTATACGAGGATAACAATGAAGAGGATGGCACAACTTCTGGATCTATCTGTTGATGTAAGTAGTAAACTTCATTGTTTGAGTTATTTGTAGCCATTCATTCTGAATATCATTTAACTTATAAAAATTGAGTGAGAATATCTGTTTTGTTATATTTAATTTTAAGTTTAGGAGTTTAGGTGACAGTTTCCCCAAGTTATCTTTTTTTTATTTTTTATTTTTTATCCTCACCCGAGGACATCCCCTGCATTTATCTTCAGACAGAGTGGGAGGGGGAGAGAGAGAGAAACATCGATGTGAGAGAGACATCGAGTGGTTGCCACCCACACAACCCCAACCAGGGCCCGGGACAAACTGCAACCGAGATACTTGTCCCCAGCAGGAACCAAACCCGGGACTCTCCCGTCCACCGGCCGACGCTCTAACCACTGAGCCAAACCAGCCAGGGCTCAAGTTATCTTAAGTACCAAAAAAACAGCCTAAATATCAGTTTGTAGTTATAGTAATATTATTTATACTAGTTAAAATTGTCACTTAATTATGTTTTCCATTGGTTACTTTACAGTTAAAGGTATATATTCTATGATAAATATGTTTATGTTCTCAAAAGTGAACTGTAGAAATAAGAGGTATGAGGGAGACTTGACTGCAGTTCACCTGAAAAGGTCCCCGAACATGATAGAGAGGTTTTGATTTCAGATCTGGGTTTCATGTTGCTAAAATATACACTAAAGAGATAAGAGGTAAGTGAGATACACAGTAATGGTCTGAAAAGCCATTTCTGTAATCAGAAGTAGTAGTGACAGTTTAGCTGAAAAAGAAGCATGAATGTTAGAAGGTTTCACCCTTGGTTAGTTCATTAGCTCTTCTCATTTCTGATGAGAATACCAGGGTCCTTAGAAGCAAACTGCCTTGCCTGTGGCTACATAATTGCCAAGTAGCACAGCATATATTCTACCCAAGCGTGTCTGGAAACATATTGACTATATAATACTGCCTTTTAGAAGGAAGCATTATAGAAAAGAGTAGATCAAGTTGCTGTTGGTAACAGGTCTTCCCTAGAACTAACTGTATTAAGTTTGCAAGGAAGCAGATTCAATCCTATTCATTACCTAGACTCTCAGTAAAGTAAGTACATTGTTTCAGGAAATCAGCCGTTGTTAACTTTTTTTTTTTTTAATGTTTTTATTGATTTTTCAAAGAGAAGGGAGAGAGAGATAGAAACATCGATGTCAGAAAGAAACATTGATCAGTTGCTTTCTGCACACCCCCTGTTGGGGATTGAGCCTGCAACCCAGTCATGTGTCCTGACCGGGAATTGAACCGGTGACCTCTTGGTGCATGGGTTGATGCTCAGTCACTGAACTACACTAGCTGGATGGCCCTGCATGTTCTTGACTGAAGAGTTTAGAAAATGCTTTCCTTAAATTCTATTTATTGTGTATAATTATCTGGTCTTAATTCGATTTGTCTTTCTCTCTTGCAGGAGTCAGAGGCTTTTCTCTCGAATCTCGTAGTAAACAAGACCATCTTTGCTAAAGTAGACAGATTGGCAGGAATTATCAACTTCCAGAGACCCAAGGATCCAAATAATTTATTAAATGACTGGTCTCAGAAACTGAACTCATTAATGTCTCTAGTTAACAAAACTACACACCTCATAGCCAAAGAGGAGATGATACATAATCTACAATAAGGGTCGATGCTCTTAATGCTTTTAGAAAAGAGTTAAACTTGGAAATCATTAAAAAAAAAAAAAAAAAAAAAAAAGACTGTTATGGTGTATATGTTGGGTGTTTTTTCTATTCTCAACTTCTTTGTCTAACATTTAAAATATAGTGAATATGTTTGAGGCCCCTTTCAACTCCCTGATTTTGTTGTTAACTTTTCATTTACAATTGGTGCAAAAATATGATACATTTCTATTGTCTGAGTGCTCAAAAAATTGTGTCATAACTTACCCAAATGTTTTCCTATCATTTGAAACCTTTTAGCTATTATTTGTTTTCATTCAGCTAACAACCATAATTATAATAAAAGCAGTATATGCACGTTTATTTTCTACGGTTGCCTGTGTTTCTGAACATTTTATGGGGTAGTGATTTGAGTGTTTTTTAAATACATTCTGTTGTAAATCTATGAATTATTTAGTAGAATTTTTTAATAGATTTTAAAATTGATTTTTAGAGAGAGAGGAAGAAAGGGATAGGGAAACATAGATTGGCTGCCTCCTGCACGCCCCCTACTGGGAATTGAGCCTGAAACCCAGGCATCTGCCCTGATCGGGAATTGAACGGGCAAGCCTCCTGGTGCATGGGACAACACTCAACTAACTGAGCCACACCGGCCAGGCTTAGTAAAATTTTAAAAACAACATAGAACATATAAGAACATTTGGGACAAAGAGTTGTGATTTGTGAAAAATTTGTATTTTAGTATTGTGGCAGAAAGTCTCTAGACTGGGGAAGCTATTTGGTAGGCTATGAACTTTTTTTTATCTTTTTCTTTTTTTGAGTCAAACTGGTTTCAATTATAGTAGCTTATTTTTACCCTCTTGACCAGTTGTTGAACAAAATCAAGTGATGTTGTGTTGGCACAATTTAACACACAAAGTCATATTTATAAGACTTTGTGGCTTTTAACTTACAGATTTGATTACATCGTTGACTCCATATTCATTATCTCTTTGTAGGAACTTTAATTCCATTGAACACTGGATATAACAACCTAAAATGCTTAAAAAGACCCCCCAAGCCCTGGCTGGTTTGGCTCAGTGGTTGGAGCATCGGCCTGCGGACCAGAGAGTCCCGGGTTCGGTTCCCCCTAGGGGCACATACCAAAAAAAAAAGACTCCCCAAAAAGACTTAAGGCCACTCTGCTAGCAAATGGTATAGTACTAACCTTTTTTTGTTTTTTAGAATTAAACAAAGGTAATTTTATTGTCAAAAGGAACATCTGAGATCAATTAACATGAACAAATTTTGAGTTTTAAATTTTGATTTATTACAGAAAAATGAAACAATGTTAGGTTATTTAAAATGATGTGTAAATGAAGAAAGTATGAGGTCTACATTTTAAAAACTACAAATGTAGAGAGGAAAAACATCCTGGAAACATCATTTCTCATAATTCATTTTTCATATAATGGTCACTAAATTGACCTATTTTATGATTCTATGGCTGAGGACAATTGTGAGACCTCCACTATTTATGCTGAGTCATTGTGAATAATAATATAGTATTAATCTAATTTTATTCTTTAGAAATACAATGTGTTGGTCACATTAATATCAACATCTGCTATCACTTATTTTTAAAAGCTAGCCAAAAATATGGCAAGTTCATGAACATTAGTTCATACTAGCAGTAAGAATATGGTTTTAATTTTCTTTTGAATGGAAAGAAGCAAATAAGATTATTTTGCATTGTTAATTTGTAAATCGAGTTGAAGCTCATTTGAATTTAGCTTCTCATTAACTTTGTCTTTCTGGGGACTCATTCCCTTTGTATCTGCCAAATCTAGACTATTTGGCCAAATTTGTTGCCATAAAGACCTCAGATGCTCCTCTTTGGTCTTTATTTAACATGCTCACCCTCAACTAAGCTCTTTGTGTGTTCTGGTTTGCTGCTGCTTGTAACTGTCCCAGTGACCTAATCCCACTTGACTTGATTAACTGAGCATCCATTTCTTGTTCTTTTCCTGTCCAAACAAATTTAAGAGTTATTACCAACTTCTTAGTGTTACAAAGAAGAATCTGTTAGTGTAGGGTGGTAAATTATTAGAGATTTTTTAAACCTAAAATCCTGTCTTACATTTCAGGCCTAAAGCTGGTGTTCATGAAAAGGACAGAACCACTTTACTTTAAATGGAGAAGATAATACTTGACTCAATGTCATTTTCATTATTAGGTTACTAACCAGCAGGAGAGGTGATGAACCTCTGTTTTTCTTGTGAGTGTTTTTTAATGAAACACCCTTTATCCTTTTATTTCTATATATAACTTATATTTTTATTTTAGAGTTCAATAGCTATTTCTGTAATTATCCTCTTCCATGTGCTTGTTACTGAATCATTGAAAAACTCATCTTTAAAATTCATACTGTTTTATTCTATCTCTTACAAGTGTTAAATGTATGATAAAAGTTCCTATTTTAAATTGTTTTCAGCTCCTGGATAGAGCTGCAATAAAAGCACTAATTTGTGGGTATTTAAGAAAACCTGGAGAATAAACTCATACTTTAAAAGATTACTTCTCTTTTTAATTCTCTTATTGTTTAAAACAAACAAAAAGCCATAGGTAATTTTTATTTTTCTTTCAAAATCAAGTTATCTCTCTAAACCTGTTTTTAATTAGTGGGAAAACATTTTGTACTTGGCTTCCCCACCCTGAACTCTTAATTTGGGATTGGGGACAGGCCATGCCTACTGGTGCTCTTGACCAGTGGTTGTCCAGCTCGGCACACTTCAGAACCCGCCGTGAGGCTCGTTAAAACACTCACTGCCTGAGCCCCACCTGAGTTTCTGATCTAGTAGGTCTGGGGTGGGGCCCAAGGATTTTCATTTGTAACAAGTTTTCTGGTAGAGCCATGGGCTACACTTTGTGAGAACCACTCTTCTTGATGACACTTGGAGTAAATGCTAGAAAATAACTGTTGGGTTTTCAAAGTGTTTTTCTGAGAAAAGTACTGAGTGAATTTGAACATCAGTAAAATGAGAATTGTGCTACAGCGTGATGCTTACCTAGTGCCTTTTGTTGAATGGAGTGATTTGAAAGTCTGGTTTTATGTCTTCTGAGATGTAGAGAAGTGCTCTCACTTTTTCAGTGGATATAAAACTGTCCCAAACTTGAAGCTTAGTAATTGCTATGTTGAAAGAATTGAATGGCATCTCTTGAAGACCGCAGAAGTTTCATCTTGCTGTTTTTCTCTCTCTAAGATTGGGAGCCCTGTTTATCTTTTCCCAGCACCCAATAAATTCAACTTTCTGCCTCTGAATTTGCTTACACGATATTTCATATAAGTGAAATCATAAAATATTTGTCCTGTCTGGCTTATTTTTACCTAGCATAGTTTTCAAGGTTCATCTATGTTGCAGAGTGTATCTTAATGTGTGGTTGATGAGCATTCTGTTATGTAGATGTACACATTTTATTTATCTGTTGACGGTCATGGGTTGTTTCCACCTTTTGGCTATTGTGACTAGTGCTACTATGAACATGGGTGTGCAAGTACTGTTTTCAATTATTTTATATCTGCATATTGGCTGTAAAAAATAGAGTCCAAGGAAATTGAAACAATCATACAGAGAACTTCTTTGTGCTCTTCACTCAGTTTACACATTGGCTTTTAAAACCAAAAGGATATTTATATACAAAGGGACGGTGTGGTAGACCAGAGAAGGGCAAATTCCTGGCAAAGCTGTTAATATTTTAAATCTTACCCCAGTGACCACGATGACAATGTCCACAAGAACTGTCCTTTTTCTTTTTTTTAACCTCACCCAAGAACATTTTTCCATTTTTTGTTCAGATAGAGTGGGAGGAAGAGAGAGAAACATCTACGTGAAAGGGACACATCGAGTGGCTGCCACCCACACGACCCAACCAGGGCCCGGGACAAACTGCAACCGAACTACATGCCCTTAGCGGGAACCAAACCCAGATCTCTCTGGACCGCAGGCCGACGCTCTAACCGCTGAGCCAAACCGGCCAGGGCAAAAACTGTCCTCTTACACCTACTGTCAAGGGGACCCAGTCAGTGGAATAGAAACTACTTGTGATCAGACCAACCTTTAGCCACACTGAGCATGTATCGTCAGTCCCAGCGGAGTGATTAGCATTCAATAAGGCACTCCTATGTTCATTATAGGTGGTCTTGTATCTGAAACCCATTAAGGATTTTTAAGTTTACTGGGACAAATAAAAAGGATTAGGTATGGATTATAAAAGTAGCTAAGTAGACATTAATTTTCATAAACTTTATTTTTAGGCTATAGAAATAATATTCTCAACAGGGGCCACTTTATTTTATCTACAAGGAAGAAGGGAGATGTCACAAATACACCTTTTCTTAATTTTTCTGCATTGTATACAGCCTTATTTAATATCTTAGTACCAATGTGCAGTAAAAATCATCGTCAAGTTTTTGGGGGTTTTTTTGGTATGTGCCCCTAGCAGGAACCGAACCCGGAACTCTGGTCCGCAGGCCGACACTCAACCACTGAGCCAAACCGGCCAGGGCCATCGTCAAGTTTTAACATTTCCAAATGCAATACCCTGTTCATATCTTAATTTGAACTTTGGACATTTTCTTTGAACTGTGAAAGAAAACTTTCTTGTTTCATAATGCCTTTTTTTGTTTGTTTTTAAATGTTTTTATTGCTTTTTAGAGAGAGAAGAACGGAGAGGGAGAGCGAAACATCAATGAGACAGAAACATCAATTAGCTGCCTCCCGCCCACCCCCTACTGGGGATCAAGCTCATAACCCAGGCATGTGCCCTGACCAGGAATCGAACCCGAGACCTCTTGGTCCATAGGATGACACTCAACAACTGAGCTGGGCTTTGTTTTTTTAATGCTTAAATGTCACTCTCAAATGCAGCAAGTAAAAAGGTTAAAACAATATGATGTAAACTAATTTTACTTGACCAAAATTTTAGTATTCCAGTTATTTGAAGTTTTTGAGCATTCAAAGAATTAAATTAAGTTTAAAAGAGTTAACTAACCTTCCAGAAAGGGCAAAGAAAATGTTGGGATGGAATAAGACATTTCTTAAAATGCATATCATGTCTGCTACTGCTGAGTGTACAACCTAATGCCTCACTACAGAATACTAAACAGCTGGTTGCCTGATGCTTTCACATTGATTTTTATTGTGTGAAGAATGCAGGGCAGATATTTTATTCAAAGTGTTCCTCCTTAATGGAACCACAGAAGACCACATTTCCCTCACCTTTTAGAATGCAGATCTCGGAAGGGGAGGATAATGTGATTTTCTTCTGCTGTCAGCACTTAGGGATTGTAGTCAGAGTTTGGAAATAAGTTCTTCCTCTGAGATTTAGATA